CTACCAGGTTGATTGACTCTAATTTAGCTTCAAACATAAGGTAGAATAGAGCTGTCACACTATACATACATGTATTATAATTTCTAGTGTCACTACACAATTATTAATTTTATCTGGCTTGAGTCATGCATTCGCATGATAATATGTCCATTACAAAAAGAAATCTGGCTTTTCTGAATTTGGACAAACTTTCCCTTCATTTGTAGCTAATCAATAAATGTGTTATTTTGTTCATCTATATACATAAGGCTTCTCTACCTGGGTTGTACATTTTTAAATGAATTTTATTGATTGATTGATTGATTTTGGAGAGAGGGGAAGAGAGGGAGAAAGAGTAGGAGAGAAACATCAATCTGTTGCCTCAGGCACGTGCCCTGACTAGGGACCACACCTGCAACCCAGGCATGTTTCCTGACCAGGAACTGAACTAGTGACCTTTCACTTTGTGGAACAATGCTCAACCAACTGAGCCACACCAGTCAGGGCTGGGTTGTACATTTTTTGAGCATACATATTGTGTACTATCTTACTGTACAATCAGTAAAAGTGGTTCACTGTCCAGAACAGCAGCTTCTAATAATAATCTACACATTGATTAGACTGTTTTCAAAGGAACCAAGTCCAAACATCTACAAATCATGAATGGTTTGCATGAAATCAGTACTCTGCAGAGTTGTTTATTTCTTCACAAGTCTGTTTTGTTTAAAAATCATTGTTATTCCACCTCAAGGTACTATATAGTGTTCTTGGAAGTGCTCCTCCAGGTGCATCTAACTGATGCACAAATACTTCCTTTACTCAGGGTAGAATAATGAGGCTGGGGGTTCAAACACTAATTATCTTCACATAGGAAGGAAGGCTGTACCATAGCTTCAGTCCACACAATTAACCTTCGCTAGCTGGACAATCACAGTTCAAACAAACCATTAAAGGGAGAGTGGAGACAGTAGAATTACAGGGGGTCACAAATGTAATCCCATGTAAAATATGCTAAGCCATGTGTACCCCATAGACAATGGGCTAAACTAGCATTATGACATCTGGAAAGCATCTTTGATTTATATCAACAAGCAATATCACAAAGAAGGGTCAGCCTTAATGACACCCCCACCTGCATCTAAGTACCACCTTATTGAAATATTCCTTCATTTATAGGGAAGGTTTACTTTGAAAGTATATTTTCTTCTTCTCTGTATTTACATTAAAGAATGTAAATAGTTTGAATCATGTTTTTGATGGCTGCCTGAATCACCCTCAGTGCCAGCAAGGTCTGATTTATGACCTTAGAGCTGATTATGTAACCTCTGGTCCATCTTTTTTCCCCTCCAAATTTTGAACCACTCCTGATCCTTATACCCTAATCAGAGATCAAGAGAGCATAAGGGATTATGGGTGAAGGTTTGCTAGTGACATAAAAGAGAACTACCCATTCAAACATTTTTATAGATTTTTATCACTTAAGTGATCCCATTACTCATTACCACAGATGATCAAAATTGTTCAAGTTTGCCTTTAGGCCAACAGGCCCATTAATGGAGTTGAAACTGCACAAAATCAAACCTTGGACTAATTTTCCTAAACCTGACAACTGAACTCTAATTGCCATGCATGCCTAATTGTCACAGCTCCTCACTTAATTATTCACATCCCCTCCAATATCTCACCTCATTCCTGAGTCTAAGACTGAAAATCTCCTTAAATTATGGGTTAGGTACTCCCATGGCTACAGTGCCATCCAAACATACCAGAAAAACACTTCACCTAACTCAGCCCAGGCTTCGGCATCTCATGTCTCTGTGTTCCAGGGTCATAAAAGAGGTATTATGACATGTATGTAGTTAGATGTTCCCATGAATTTGCAGTATAGTGTTGACTCAAGAACCTTGAGCAATGGAGTTCATCTTGCTTGTTAGCACTTAGGCATGGTTCCAGCACTCCTAATTCATTTATTGTGAAATTCAGAGGCTGCTTAACTTTGTAGATAGAAGTGACATAGCAGAAGTAGTACCACTTCTAAGAATTAATCCTAATTTGCATCATCTTGGAACACTGTCTATTACATCCTTCAATGCCATCTCTGAAGGGGCCTATGTGATGCATTCTGTTGTGAATTTATGACCAGAGGTTATGTTTTTCTCTTTAAGAAGTACTTGCATTTGTCTATGAAATGGGAATTATCTATCCTTTTGTTTTCCCTTTTATCTTTTCTGTCTGGTATCTTAAAGCTAAATCTGAATACCCATTCTCAGAAAACATGTTGGGGTACATAAGTATGATCCCTTGCCACATTATTTTTTTGTGGTCTGTATTTTCTGTTTTTATTTTATCAGCCTTATTGAAAAAGTCTTTTACATCATAAGACAATTCACATCCTTTGAAAAGCTAAGTTATTAGCATTATTTTCAAAAGTAACCTCATCTTATGAACAATATTCAAAAAGCCCAAATCTCAAAGTCCACATCTCAAATATCATCATGTATAAAATAAACTCATCAACCTAGGAGAAAGGGGAGAAAATCATGAATATAAAAGGTTTTAATTCAATAGAGTAATCTAGATTGTAGAAATTATTTATGTGAGCATTTAGATGGTGGCTATGTCCAATGGTAATGCACAATAGGTATGTTCTGTAATACTGAGAATTTTATAAAACTTAATTATAGTAACAGAATTATCTAAATAACCATAACTAGAACTATCTTACAAATCAAAGTTTAAAATGTAAAAGGCGATCAGAAAATTATTTAGTGGGTCTAGTTAACTTATTTCATAATAATCTTATCTGTAATATGTGCTTTTCCCTTATTTTTTGCTCATTTACCTTAGCTGTCTGGCTGTAATTAGACTTGAACTTCTCAGTTTCAGTGAAGTTTTACATAAGAAAACATTATACTGGGGGCGAAAAATCTTCACAAAAGCAGTATGTAAAACCACCACTGTTTTACATATAATTATCTTCTCTTTCAGCCTGTGATGAAGACTTAGCTCTTGTGCAACTCAGATCTGTATGGGGTTTTCATTTGATTTATGGCAGTTGACCTGGCATAATATAAAAATAATTTGCCGTTTCTCACTCCTCACACCCTGTAAATCAATAGTTTGAATATAGAGACGTCTTAATTAGACAGTACAAGGGTAGGTAGCAAGATCTCCTTCCTCCTTTCTTATATGATTAAAATGGCAAGTATTACAAAGCTGTGCTTGTTTTAAAGTTGCTTTGGAGTGGGGATCTACTAGTTCAAGTTGGGAGTTATAAGGTGAGAGTTGTCATCAAACCAAATGAGAAATCGAACATAAGGTTGTATAAGTAATAGCCTATGAGGGGTGGAACATGAACTTGTTAAAATATCTATTAGTGCATTTCCATAGTATCTGTGTATTTTGGGCTTGAAGAGTGGAACAGGGTGTTAAATTATGGTCAGACTCAGAGAAGTCATCCATCCTTTTTACCCTGTTCCTCCAAGAAGGCTCTAAACCAATGTTGTACACATTCATGGTATTAGCCACAATGAGATGAATTATCTGCAGGTCCAACTATGGTCTGCCTTTGCAACACATGTGAAAATTAAGGATTATTATATGAGGAAGCTATATTATCTGTCACTAATCACAACAATTTTTAACCTTTTTTATCACATGGCACATACAAACTAATTACTATAATTCTGTAGTACACTGAAAAATATATATTTTTTACCAATCTGACAAAAAAAGGTCTAATTTTTATTCATTCACAACAGATGGCTATTATTGAGTTGGTTGTTTTCTTTTTTTAATTTAATAATCTACGGGGAAAGAAGTCAATGCCCCTGACTAAATAAATAGTCAGGTACTGAATGTTTTTAGAATTCTTTTTTTTTAAGTAAGGTGTGTGTGTATATATATATATATATGTATTAAAGATTTTACTTATTTTATTTTTAGACAGAGGGGAAGGGAGGGAGGAAGAGAGGGAGAGAAACATCAATGTGTGATTGCCTCTTGCACACCCCCTACTGGGGACCTGGCCTGCAATCCAGGTATGCACCCTGACCCAGAATTGAACCAGGGACCCTTTGGTTCAGAGGCCAGCATTCAATCCACTGAGCCACACCAGCCAGGTTTGTTTTTAAAATTCCTGAGGCACACCAGTTGAAATCACTGGTGGATACTATCCTAATCTCAATGGTAAATTAAGTGTAAGATCTACATAGTTTGCTTGTAAAAATTTAAAAGTAACTTCTCAAAATTGATTCTGTCTGGGAGAACCTCAGAGTAAGAAAAAACAAAAAACATTTTCTTGATTTTGTAAATGGTGAAGTGAGAGAAATGAAAAGTAAATTGTTCCTCACAGGCTGCTCAGATCTGGTCCCAGGACTGTAATTGCACAAGTTCATGTTTTATCCACAGAACTGAATGGATTTTAAATAACAAACTGAACCTTCACCTGGCCCTATATTGACTGTAATTGAAGACTAAAAGATTCTTACTGTGCTGGAATTAAATCTAAGAAGAGCTACTTTTTTAGAATCCTCTTTCAAATTCACATTATATATTTTGAAAGGAAAGGAGCTCATTGATTTTTTTAACCACTCCTTAATGTTTCTTCTAAGTCATGAGTAAGAGCTTACTGGATGATCAGATTAACACTCTCTCTCCACCTTAAAATAGGATTATGATGACCAGAGAAATTTCATCTTCCTGACTGGCTTTTCACAGGACATGCTGATAGACCACAAAGCCACCAAATCTTGCTGTAAGACTCCTTGGAAAGCCATCAGGGAAGAAAAGACAACCAGGTTAAATAAAGCTAAGACCATGTGAGGTGCAAATGAAGTTTCAGAGGCAAATGAAGGTCCAAATGCAATAAGATGGCTTGAATAGAAGACAAAGTTGAAACTGTTGGTGAATTAGCCAGTCAGATTCAACAGAAGGTTGCACAATGGAAATTCAAGTAAAAGTGTGATTGATGCAGGGAGACATGCACCTTCTGAAGCAAGAAGCTCTGTTCATAACCATACCTGGAAAATTGCTGCTGCAGGCCACGCATCTGAATTCGGTTGCGTTCAGACTCTAGTGTTACCTCCTGCAACCGCTTCTCACTCTGAAGACGTAAGTGCCTCTCCTCTTCCAATTCATGTATCAGCTTCTCATGCTATAAAAGACATACAGGAAATGACCTTTAAGAAGGTGTTACTTAAATATTATGACAAAAATAATTAATACTAGCTGTCAGTTACAAAGTGCTAACTTGGATTCTATGTATACAATAATTAATTTTGTCCTTTTTAAAAACACCATGAACTAGGTTCTATCATTAATCTTTTGTTATAGACAAGGATTAAAGACATCTGAGTAATTTGTCATAAAAACCAGAAGATAACAGGTTTTCAATCCTGGCTGATTTGACTCTAATGCTCAAATAATTTCCACCAAACCAGGTGGCTTCCTGTGCAGATGTGAAGATCTATGATCCAATAATACTATCAAAAGCATAATAATTCAAGTAATAATGACTCAGATCATTAGTGCCTGTTCACAATTATTTCATTTCTTCAATCTCTGGTATATGCTTTAAAAGGAACATTACTGCGTTTTATAGAAGAGAAAAGAATTTCAAGTTTATTAGACCATGGAGCTCATGAGAATAAGGTTAAAGAATGTTTTTATTTTGTTCAATTAGATGTTTGTTGATAAAACTAGGCTAAACCACCCACTGTATTTATAATCCCAGAAAACTAGCTCATCTCACAAACAGGAATCAAAAATTAAAAGATGGACTGGATGACCTAGTATAGATTGTTCAGCAAAAATTCATGCCTAGAACTGGTGAAAAGCACAGAGGATCAGCTCCTCCTGACATTGTAGACTCAACCATGCTAATGCTGTTTTTATTTTGTTGTTACTGCTTTTTTTCTCTTTAGTGTGTCATGCTTTTATAGTTACTATTGTTACTAAATTAAGCACTTTGCATTTAGAATATATATTCTTTGATGAAAACCAAAGACTCAATCCCTGATTATGAGGCATATAAATTCTTAAAGGAAAAGAAGGGAAGTAGAGACCTTAGTCTCCAAATACATTAGACACCATGACTTTGTACCATGGATTACCAAGGATGAAAGAGTGTCCATTGGATGGGGTATATTCATAGGAAGTAAAAACAAAGATGGATTTCTCCAGCTCTAACTCATGTGGAAAAGGTTCTCCTGAGGACCATGAAGAACACATTAGGTTTAATCTGGAAATGAAGGTACTCTAAAAGTACTTAAACTCACACCCCTGACTCTGCATCTTTGACTATGCTTTTTCTCCTGCTTAAGCCTTCTCTTCTAGAACCTTTCCCTTATTACTTCATTGTTCTTTCCCATCCCTGAGTTTCAATAGTAGCTGCAATCTTTAACAACCTTTAGGTCCTTAGTTATTTTTTTCTATCATTATTTTTAATAAAATTTTATTCTAATTCTCCAACTAGATGAATAGTTGCTTGAGGTTAGAACTATGTCAACTATGCATATATATATTTTATTTAGCATATTACCCCCTGCATAGTAGCACTAGAAATATTTGTTTATTGATTATAGAGCTGGCCTTTTGCTAAGTGAGGGTTGTAACTTTTATGTCCTTAACTTTTCAATTGTCCGTCTTCGACTCCCACAATCAGTTAGTTCTACTGGAATTAGAAAAAGTAAAATCAAAATCAAATCTATATATGTCACTTTCCAGCAGCTTTGGAAAGGAGGAAAAACGTGGCAATGGAAGAGGAATGTACTAATTAACATCAAAGCACTGTAGAAAGAATTAAAGTGGCAAATTTTATATTTACATATATTTAACCCAAGTTAAAGATACATTAAAATATAAACCATTCACCCATTTATTACACACAATCAACATTACTCTTTATATAGACTCATTGGACTAGAAAGAACATGAGTAAGTCTCCTATATTATAGAATTTGGAAGATTGTGCTTTGGTTCTAGAAACAGGCAATAAAAAATGGTATATGTCTAGAAGTACATCCTATGGAGGTTGTGAAGTTTTGCAGAGAAAATGGCATCCCTCCTTCATTCAAAAGTAAAGAATGTTGTAGATTTGTTCACTCCTATATTGAATAACCCCCAAGATCTAATAAAGGAGGTTTTCTGTATGGATAATCTTTCTGCCCAACTTGTTAAGGTCCTTTCAAATATTAATAGATGATACCCTTATAATACAGAAAAAGTTACAGGAAATTCTAGACTAATGAAGTAAAAAATTGTTTAGTAAAAGATATTTTCTTCAAATGGTATATGTTTCTGTTAAACCATTAAAGCTTACAATAAGCCATACCTACTTTCCAAATATGGAAAAAATTTTACTTAAATTATAAAACATGGCTAACAGTGGCAAGAGAGTATATCAATGGACTGGTCATATTTCTTTTTTCATGTTAGCTGTATCCCAGATGTCAACTAACTTATCCTCAAAGCAATTTTGGTTTGCTCCCACAGGTTTCCTCTGCATCTTCTCCAGCAGGGAGACTGAAGGGGAGTGAGAGATGGAGAATGGTTGGGTGTTATTTATATAGTGCAACTACGTACTGAAGAGCAGTAAGCAAAGACACTATCACCGAAATCTGGGTTACCACATTTCTGTGACAACATCGCTCTTTCCACTGATGCACTGAACTTGGCTGGCTTTAATAAGCCATTGTAAGAGAGCTCTGAGAGTGTTTTTCAAAATTGTTTTGGTTCTCATATTTGTATTTCTCCCAGTTTCATTTAGCAAAATCACCTCTTCCATTTCTCCCCTTTGGCTTTTCTTAACATCACACCTAAAGTACTACCCCAGGAACACAAACACTAGCCCTGGGGCTGAGTCTAAGAAGTGACATTAAACACATGTCCACAGAAAGTTTGCCAGCAGCACTCTCTTCCTTCCCCTAGTGGCATAGACTTTATTTACCCTCACTCAAAGGGAAAATTTGCATATTTTTCTCAACAAAAGCTCACTCCAAGTAAGCAAACTTTCAATCCTGTGTTCTTCTATAGTTTCCATCTCTAACACTGACATAAGTTCTATAAGAACTTTTTTTTTAATTCAGAAAGCACATTACATTTTGCAAAATGTTCTCATTTTCATTACTGTATCTAGTCCTCAGAACCAGAACCAAGTTTTTCAGAGCCCAAATGCCCTTTTTTTTTCTTACTATGTTCAGTTCAGTTGTAACTTGTATTTTAAAGGTGCAAATTCATTCCAATGCAGTTGATATATCAGGGGAAATTTCAGCATGACACAACAATCCCACATTTGCTTATGTGCCCTATTTTATTCATGAGAAACATAAGCCAACACAGAAGACTGCATCCCACTGAACCTAGCACAGAACCACACAAATCACACACATCTCAGAGACCCAGCAGTTTCCTCAGTCCTCCCTGCATGGGATGAGCCACCACCATCTGCAGATGGAAGTACACCTTGTCCTCCCATTACAGTTTTCCTTCTGCCGCTTCATAGTAACTCAAGCTGCCAATGAACACTTCTACAGGTAAACTACATGCCTTTTTCAGGGTACAGTGCTATATTTAGCACATTACTTACATATTTCTTAATCACCTAACACATGAAAAATGTAATTGCCCTTTTTATTAGATTCCTATCTTTTTTTAATGTGTCACTGACAAAATTTCATTTACTCGCAAGCCCTGCGCAGTGATCTTTAGGAACGTAGATCAAGACATAGCAGAGCTGACTGTACATCATGCTGGAGAAAAAGAAATCAGAAGTGAGCCTAGAATTCTAAAGTCCTTTCCCTGTTTGGGTACAAGCAAAGAGTTAGTTGGGCCTTTGACAAAGAACCAAACATAAAAGCAAAAAGAAAGGTATATTAAGTCCAAGTCTTTGATATCCCAAAAGAGCTTGTCTATATCTCAGAGCCTTCATATAGACATTAAACTTCCTCAAATTTAATTATTATCTTCTGATTAAACCTCCAGAGAAGACTCCACAATCTCCCTAGGTAATCCAATTCTATTTTTTCTGAACTCCTCCCCTGATAACTTTCTAAGACTTGCTTAAATTGTTTCAACCATCAGAAAGCCACTTCAATCTACCTGTTCCCAGGAAACAGAGATAAATCTACTAGTTTTACAATATTTTCTAATTTAATAGAAAGCTCTGCTCAGCAACAGAGCTATGTTTACACCCACATGGATTTGTTCATTCTGTCAGGCCACACTTGTTTACTGAGCAGCTATCATGTGCCAGAAACTAGACCAGAGGAGACCAGCAGTGAGCCAAATTGACATGGTTTCTGACTGCAATAGACCTCACACAAGGGAGAACGTAGGTGTTAAACAAACTCACAAAGATAAATATATCAGTATAAACTGATAGATAAGTAAGAGTTTGCTGAAAGATGACACCAAGAGGAACTGGTTTTATTTGGTGGGTTAAGTGAAGGCTTCTCTGAGAAATTAACATTGAAACTGAGAACTCTATGATGATTAGGAGTTACCAGATAGAAGAGAAGGGCCCAGTAGTCCAGGTGGGGTGAATAGCAAGTGGGAAGTCTTTAGTCATGTGTGGGAAGAACAAAGAGAACAAAGAGTGTGCAGGAAGCCTAGTGACCAAGGGGACAGGAGTGATACATGACAAAGGTGAGAGCAAGAGCATGGCCACGGGGCACTATGAAGGCCATATTAAGGATGTGGGACTGTATCCTGGGTGAAACAGTAACTTGTTACCAAGGTTTATCAAGTGAATGATAAGATCTGATAAAGATTTTGCAAAGATCATTTGAAAGAACTGAATTAAGAAGCTAAATAATAGATTGGGAAAATATTTAAACAGAGAATGGTGAATGCTCCCAGCTTCTAATTTAGACTCCACCATTTGATAATCAAATGGTTTTGGACAAGCCACTTAACTTAAAACAACTGTTTAGGCTAGTTTCCTCTGTATGTCAGGGAGAGTAAAATTGCCCAAAACAATTTCATAGTATCATCATGAGGAATGACCAAAATAATGCATGATAAAGCACTATAAAAACTTGAAAGTCCCATATAAAAACAAGATATACCTAACTGGAATGATATAGCTTATATTGTCTAATATAGTTTAGCTACTTTTGACAAATTCTATACATATTGGGTTTGCCAAATGTTCAT